ATAAATAAATAATTGCCCACTTCTTCTATGATATGCGGGTTCTTTCATAATAGCAAGCGCACTCTGGTAGAAGTATAAGTTGATCAGACAGTCTGTTAAGTATTTCCGCATCAGTGTGCCTTCTCTGACTATATACAACTGTAAGCAATTGGCCCTCGGCCATGAATTTGCAAATAAAGATTATACCCGATCAATGTGGCGATACATTCTGCTGGAGGGTCAGCAGTGATGGACATTTTAGGGCTAAGGTGTTGACTGAAAAGGAAATAAAGGTTAATTGCTGAAGTTTTGCATAAACATGTAGAATTACTTGATCTTTCCAGAGAGGTCATCGCTATGCTATGATTGACATATTAGGGCTGCGATATTGATCGAAAAAGGAAAATGTCCTGAAGTCAGTATAATTTTGCATTGTGAAAATTCTGGACTTAGAACAGGATTTCTTCGCGAGAGGAGTGAAGGATGCGGTGTACATTCGGGCTAACCGTCCAACACTGAACAGAGACGGGTGGCGACACAGGTTATCTGACACGTGCGATCCTCTGCTGCAATCACGTGTTTCCGACGTCACGTCCCGGAAGCTGCAGTAGAAGGGTCCATTCGTGAACAAGGCTGACGGAGTCGGTCGAAAATTTGGGGTAAGTCCCAATTTACTCAGTGTTGGCTAGATCCTTTAGCCCTTTTGTCATAATGTAGAATTACTTGTTCTTTCCAGCCAGGCCATCGACATGCTGTGATTGACATATTAGGGCTATGATATTGATTGAATTGGAATCATATATCCTGAGGTTTGAATAGGTGTGTATTATAAAGTAATTATGAAATTGACTTTCTTGTTCTTGAATGCCAGGGAGGGCATTGTACTCCGCGACTTCCCCATGACGACCAAAGTGGGGTCGTGTGGTCCCGGGTTCGAATCCTGCCCGAAGCCACCGATCTTGTGCCTTTAGGAAAGGAACTGAACACGACTTTCCTCACTTCACTCAGGTGAAAATGAGTACCTAGTTTCGGTTAGGGACGTCCCTCAGATAGGACGCTAAATGGAGGTCCCGTGTTTGGGGAGAGCCACACCCCATGCACGTTAAAGAACCCACAACACTTCCTCAGGATGGCCAAATCAGGGCCGGGGTGTTGATAAGACTGAATTGACGTTCTGTGTCAGCAATGTTGACTGAAAGGACATTAAAGTATGTACTAAGATTAACAAAAGTTTTCTTCTCAATGTCACACTATTCGTCAGACAATTTAAATCAAACCTCTAGAGGCTTTCAGTTTCATTGTGGCTTAATTGACACAAAGTAGATGTCTTCTTTCAATCGAAACAAGTGAGTAATGCCTAATTAAAACTATAACATTCTAGATCCCTCGATGCAGTAGGGTATCTATCCATGTTTTAGTAGTATTTCCATAAATAAATAACTATTAATAAATGACAATGACAATGAGGTTCATTGCATATCCATGCCCCAGTGGGGCTAAATGCACTCTTAAGTTACGGATAAGGATTAGGTTAATTGTGCTATGCTCTATCTATATCCAAGCTGTACATGTTTCTTCTCTCTCCTTTAGACATTTGTTTTTTCGAATTTACAGAGTTTTTAGAATACCTTTAAAATACTTCTATTAATAGAAAGCTTCAACCTGAGAATACAAATGAGATAATCAAATCCAGCTTGCCTTGTGAGTCAGAGCAGTGATAAACTTTTTTTTTCTAATCAGTGCAGAGTGAACCTGATCTTAACATCGTATAACGATGATCTTCGGTTCAATATGTCACATCAATTCCAGGCAGAACGCCGTTTGAAATAGCATTGACATTGTCTCACAGTAACGAATGTTGTATGGAGTAGGAAGATCACATATACATTTTGAAAAACTGCCCAGAAATAAAGACTAATGCGCACTTGTGTAACGACTGTTTTTGTAGTTATACGACGTCTTCACGCTCTGTATCGGATTTCCTTTTACTTTCTTTTATTCGCGGTTTAAGGGACGGTGCATGGTGCATTTGCAAACGCGCTACTGGAAAAGATGCCATTTAAGGCCACACCAATTTAATTTGTTGGTCCTCGGATTTTTGTCACAAAACATGTGAAGCGATAGGGCGAAAAAAAAAAAACTGGTCTAGATATCCTAGCATAGTCCAAAATGCTACAACAGGAGCCAAAGTCAACACAGGAGGAGGTCAACACAAAAGGGTGGGTTAATATTTAAACAATGAACTTTTAATCAAACCACTTGTATTGATAGGTGGAAAAACTGTAACAACTAGGAAGAAAAGGACTTTCTTCAACTGTTGTAGCGAGTGCTGTTATGATTTTTGTTATTGTTTATTTTGATTATCATTTATGTAATCCCTATCAGTTTATTTTGGTGTGTGTATTAAAAAGGAGTATGTTCCTGTTACCCCTATCATTTTACACGTTTGTTGTAATAAAGTTGAAATAAAATGTTGGGGGCAAAATATGAACATGTTTGAGTTGATTCAGAACCAGAATCTTTTTTGTTTGAAGAGGCGAACCCGAGAACCAACAAACTAAATTGGTGTTGCCTAATACAGCTTGTTGTAGTGTCATTTCTCGCGATTCAGTAGATATTTATCGGCGTTAATTTCCGGTACATGACGCGGTAATAAAGTACATGTTAATGTAAAACTAACAGAGAAAAATCATGTCTTTTCCAAGAACACAAGATCGGCGGCATGTCAGGACTCGAACCCGGGATCTCTTGGTTCCGAATCGAGCACTCTGCCGCTACGCCACACGAACCCCATGTCATGTATTTGTCCCCTGTGTTGGTGGCGGCATTAATATAAGTTAATAAATTAATCAAACTTGAGTGTGTCGTCACCACGTCTGGTGATTACATGTAAAAAAAAACCCACAAGGGTACATTTTGCAAACGCGCTACTGGAAAATATGCAATTTATTACATCTTATTGTCGCCTCATTTCTCTCGATTCAGTAGATACTTATCGGCGTTAATTTCCGGAACATGACGCGGTAATAAAGTACATGTTAATGGAAGACTAATGAGATATCAATCGGCAGTGATTGTCTGGTGCGCCACAAGCGCCGCTCCGGGCGGGGATTTTCTGTCCCTGAGGACCCGGCAATGCTGAACACACCGTGCCTAATGACTGTACGGTTGGGAGGATAGTTATTATATTTGCACAAAGAAAAACACACATTCGTGTGGAGCCGTGTGGCGTAGCGGCAGAGTACTCGACTCGGAATCAAGAGGTGCCGGGTACGAGTCCTGACATGCCACCGATCTTGTGCCCTTGTGCAATTCTTGTGCAATGCTGAATACACCGTGCCTAATGACTACACGGTTGGGAGGGTCGTTACTTATTACCGTCGCCAAGAAGGTTAAATTCAGAGGCGTTCGTGTATGTGTGTGTCCGTCACGGGGACACGATAACTTGAGAAGGCTTGAATGGATTGTCCTGATACTTGGTAGGTGGGTAGGTCTTGATGAGATCTGGAAATGATTAGATTTTGGACCCCCTAGCGGCTTGTTACCTTCGCCAAGAAGGTTATGTTTTCAGAGGCGTTCGTGTGTGTGTCTGTGTGTCTGTGGACACGATAACTCAAGAAGGCTTAAATGGATTGTCTTGATACTCGGTAGGTGGGTAGGTCTTGATGAGACCTGGAAATGATTAAATTTTGGACCCCTTAGCGGCTTGTTATGGTACTGCAGCTGAACTTCCGGTTTTGATACCTCATGATCTGGACATGCTAGGGTGACGGAATTTGGATGGTAGGTAGCAGTGATTGTCTGCCGCGCCACGAGCGCCGCTCCGGGCTGGGATTTTCCTGTCCCTGAGGACCCGGCAATGCTGAACACACCGTGCCTAATGGCAGCACGGCTGGGAGGGCCGTTATTATATTTGCACAAGGTAAAACACACACAGTATGGCACGAGGAGATTGTGAGCTACGATTTTGATTTCAATATTTGACGTTCTTTTTTCCCATTGCATGGTCCGTCCGTGAACTTTACTTAATACACAATGTATATACGTTCTTTGTATGGATGAATTAATGAATGAATGAGTGAGTGAGTGACTGAATGAGTGAGCGTGTGAATGAATGAATGAATGAATGAATGAATGAATGAATGAATGAATAAAAGAATGAATGAATATGAATGAATTTATATGTTCCCTGAAGCACATATACTTTGTCTTTGGTTACAAGTTTTGTCAATTGTCTTTAAGAATACTTTAATCAAAGAGGACCCGGTACTGCTGAATACAGCGTGCCTAATGGATGCACGGCTGGGAGGGTCAGTATTATATTTGCACAAGGTAAAACACACACATTCACGTGGAGTCGTGTGGCGTAGCGGCAGACTGCTCGACTCGGAACCGAGAGATCCTGGGTTCGAGTTCTGACATGCTAATGATAGAAGTTAAGTTGAATAAGTTAAAATAAGTTGATACAATAAGCCCTTTCGCAATTACTAGTGCGCCTGCGCGGAATTGACCTAGCAACCAAAAAATGGAGATAAACAAAGTGGTGGCAACCATTGTGTGTGGCCGTGTGTGAGTGACCTGGTGATAGCACGTGGGTCGCCCCTGGCCGGACACCTGCTGCAGGTGGAAAAAACTTTCGATTATTAGAACCTCGGTTCTAGAACACGGTTCTAGAACCGGCGGTTAAGAGTTTTTGAAGATTGAATTACCCAGTCAGGTCGGGTTTATGTATACTCCATCTGTTGGTTGTCAATAAACGTGTCTTAAGTTACAAGAGCGCATGAGGCTCGTTCCTAGTTCAACTTCTGCCTTTTTCTTCGCACTGTAAGCCGAATCGTGTTTTCGCCGACGTGTCACCAATGCAGAAGGTAAGCTTTCTATACGCGATTAACACGTCGCATTACCGATTAGATAGATGACTCCACAAACAGTGACTCCACAAATAGATAATACTAATAATGTCAAATACAATCAGATTGTATAGACCATATAATAACGGCCAAAATATGTAATTATGGTGTTTTTAAGAATTTATGCCCATTCTATGTATATTTAACCACACTTTTTTCCCAGGGCATGCCCTTAATAATAGCTTCAAGCTAGTTGGGCTGCCCTGGCTGTGTTGTATCAGCCGAACAAATAAATAAATAAATAAACAATCAGATTAAGTCGTATTTGTGTGTCATGATCACGTTAAGTACCAGTGTAATTTTTGCTTCAATTTTGCTTTTCTATCTTTCCATGTTCTAGATCTTACCATGAAGCTGTGTGCAGTGGTTAACTGCAGTAATTCATCGTATACACTGGCGAAATGGAAGGCACGGACATGTCAAACACATGGAACAAAAAATAAACTTTGCAACTGTCCCCAGCCATTCCAACTCTATGCATTTCCAACCGAGAAGAAAGACCCAAACGGTAGGAGAAGGTGGAATAAACTGATAAACAAGTTTTACCCAAACACCAAAAAAAACTGGGAAAACAAGTGCCACGACAGAGTATGCTCACGCCATTTCCCAGATGGAAAACCGACACGTACTTATCCTGACCCCGTACTTCACCTGGGCTACACAATGCCGTCATGTGAGCAGAAGATAACGCCAAGGCGTCCACCTCCAACACAACGTCTGCCAATCCCTGAACCCGCAAAGAAGAAACCCCGTATTGAAGATGATCCTGTAATAACACCAACAGAAAGGATAGAGCAAGACCACCCGTACACCTACAGATGTGACTGCCGAGAAGGATGTGACTGTCCAGGTTGTACGCAAAAACAAATGAAAATCGATTCGCTGGAACACAGGGTTGAAGAGCTGGAGCAGGAAATCACCTCGCTCAAAACACAACAGGTAAAGTCTGGAGGAAAGTCAAGTGGGAAGAAGAAGGTGTTTACTGCCGACACCCTGAAAACTGACAATGATATCAATCAATGTACGGGACTTAGGTCAAAGCAGGCCTTCAATGATATGTACCGATACCTGGAACCCCATGCCCAGAAGCTTACCTACTGGAAAAGCACAGAATCAAGTCCAAAGACGAAGAGGCCAACTACAAAAGGCAACGGAACTCCCAGGAAACGTGGATCAAAGCGGAAGCTAAGTTTGCGAGAGGAGTTTCTCCTGACACTGATGCGTCTGCGTCTGGGACTTACGATCAATTTCCTTGCTATCCTATTTGGCCTTGTCCCCAGTTCTTGCTCTCAGATTGTCAGCACCTGGGTGCGCTTTCTGTCGGGAACGCTACAGCCACTTATTGTCTGGCCAAGTAGACATGCAATCTCCACTACCTTGCCAACACAGTTCAAGAACAAATGTAGTAGGATACGATGCATCATGGATTGCACAGAGATCTTTATTGAGAGACCAAGAAATTTGGAGATGCAAGCAGCCACATGGTCCGATTATAAGAAACATAATACAATGAAAGTACTAGTGGGAATCACTCCAAATGGCCATATCTCGTTTCTGTCAAAGGCGTATGGTGGAAGGGCCTCCGATGTGTCCATCACCAGAAAGAGTGGATTCCTAGATTTGGTAGAACCAAATGATGTTATCATGGCCGACAGAGGTTTCCCCATCCAGGAGGATCTGTTGTTACGGCACGCTACCCTACAGATTCCACCTGCAGCACAGGGGAAGCGTCAAATGGCCAGGAACAAAGTAAAGAAAACAAAAACTGTTGCGAACTTGAGGATCCATGTTGAGCGGGCCATTAACCGGCTGAAGGACTTTAGAATTCTAGATGGCACATTTCCCATTTCACTTTTGCCAGCAGCAGATGATATTATCAAAGTCTGTGCAGCACTAGTCAACCTTCAGTCTGACTTAATCAAGTAAAGAATAATTATTCACTGATGTCGGGTTGATATTATATTAGTATTCTATGTATTCAAGTTGGTTCATACTTATTAACTGTATTTAAGTGTTTGTGATTTTGTTAGGATCCGGATCTCTTGTACAAATAGGTGGATAACAACACTCTTGTATCAAGTTATGGAATATTTAATTGATTAAAATAGATTAGACCTAGAGGTCATAAACAATATTCCGACGTGTGCCTGGCACATGAACATTGCTGTAGATTAGAATGCGAGATAACATATTTCTTAGTACTTACTTGGGTAACGTGACAAATGTTAATATACCCAGTTGTGAAATTTTTATACAGTAACACTGCTTGTACATTTTCGTTTAACGAGCTTTTTATTGTGTTCAGCACAGAAACTAAGTGCTGTTATCTATTTGCAACAACTGACGAACTTTCCCTGAGTTGTCATTGCTTTGTCCCAGACAAAAGCGCCATCATGAACATATTACTCCCATGTCTTTAAATTGTTACTGTTCCTTATCTCTCTGTAGACAAGTTCAGGGGCAACAAGCTCGTTGAAGAATTGTTCCGCTGCAACAGCTGCTCTTGACCAAACATCATCATTGAAGCGTATGCGCTCAAGGTGGTAACCGGCCTTTGAATAAACAAAAAAGTCGCACCAGCGTCTCCCGGTAACACCCATCTGTGCCTGCACTTGGTAGTAGAACGCGTGGTTTTGTTTGAGTCGTGTGTCCCCATTTTCAGAGAGCTTCAAGAAGTTTGTGTTGCTGGCACTAGGCTGTTCCATAGCAGATGTACGTGGGCATTTTATTTCCAATAGGCCTTCCCCACAGCATGTACATTGCACCAAACCATCAGGTGTAGCACCCAAGAAGATCTTTTGGGGGTCCACAAAGAGACCGCACTCAGTGACATCTAGATTCTGATGCCCCTTTTCTCTCTGCAGGGCTGTGTACGATTTCCTTGCGACAGGTTCCAGCAGCCGTCCGTACTTAAGACTTGGGAGGTTTGGGTTTAGTGGTGCGTAGCCCATTACTGTTTTTATGATGGGTTGTGGGTTTTTGCTCCTTGATGTGCTGTCATCGTGGAGTGTGTTATTCCGCGTGACCACTGACTTCAAGTTGGAGGCGGTAATCATGCCGGCTCGGAAGTCGGACCACTGTGGGTTGTCAGCCTGTCCTCTCGTCTGTTCTTCAATTGTGGCTATCTGATCCGTGGTGTACGTTGGCAAGGTTTCTACAAAAGACTGAACGGTGTGTTTCCCGGAAGCCATTTCTGACAAACTTAGCAGTGGGGCAGACTCGACTGTTGTTTCTATTTCCATCTCAGTACCCAGGTTGAAATCAGCTTCAGGGGGGTAGGCTGGGGGTGGGAGTGTGTCATGGTACAGGTACGTGAATATTGTAGAATCCTGGCATGATGGATACAGGGCGTCTAGGAGTCCTTTGGTTGTCGGTGCGTTGGTTGAGTTCTGGAGTGGGTTGAAGAGCTTCTTCGCAACAGTATTGATGGGGCTTATATTTGCTGTAAGAGGAATAGAGAAAAAAATATTTAGTATGTAATTTGAGCTTACACATTAATTGTATATGTTGACATGGCACTGCATCTTGCAAGCTCTTGACATGACTTATTAATAGTTTACATCTATTGCCATAGGTTACTATTACATACCTCCTTTGTGGTAATTTGGCTTCTTCCATTCCATCTCACAGATGGGTTTAGTCTCCAGCACTGCGGCAGCCCCTCCACTATACACATTCCATGTGCATTCCTTTGATGTGCAAGCCACCGGCTTGGAACATCCAGTCATAAATGCATGGTCTATCTTGAAGATCAGGGCAGCAACATGGTTACATGTAGATCCAAGTCTGAAAAAGACACCACAAAATGATAATGAGAACTTGGTAACTCGCGCCATGTGAGGGAAATCAAAAGCTATGTGATTGTAAACTTTGTTTCAACAATGCTGATATGTGGGGGAAAATTCTTGTATTATCAATATTATGCACTGTATAAAGATTTACAGGCATTTTTACACTGTAAACATTGTTTTTGTGACATATATATTACATAACTCACCCAGCAAAGCAGCTACAATATGCAGTACAAATCTTTCCCGACTTCTTCTCCGCGGCGACCCAGACGGTGTGGGGAATGTTTCTGATGGACTGAGATGGTGTACATGTTGTTTTAAGGAAACATATGTCACTGTCCGGGGCGATGGTGTGGTACTGGACTTCGTTGATCCATTTACTGTCAAAATAAGAGTACGCCTTGCCCTCTTTGTAATCAGTCAAAAGTCGCTTGTGGAGCGTGGCAGGCTTCCGTTCCTTCGGTGAGTTACCGTTCCTTGGAAGGCTGACACACGGCGCCTCGCAAAGTAGCCACTGGGCGATCTCGAAGTACGAAACAGGTGGCCATTCTTTCACACCGTCCTTCTCTCCAACCCATCCTTCAGCCAAATCTACAAGGGGATCGGGGAGCTTTATGCCCTTGTCCTTGATCTTTAAAAGTTCCGCGTACTCAACTGACCGTGCCCGGTCTTCCTCAACCGCGTCTGGATTCTCTGGTATACGTAGCTGCACAGCGCTATATGCGAGAGCTTGTAGGTCTGCTTTCTTCCCTGACGTTTTGAGTCCTCTAACACTTAGAAACGCCTTCAAAGCCGGCACTTTCCAGTGTCCAATCTCTTCTAAGGAATGTCCGCCGTAATCTTTGTCGTCCATTACGAAAGAAAATCTCCAGGTAACATCCGAGCTCACGTGCCGTGAAACTCAAAACTACTAACCTCTATGAAATCAAAACTGTAACCGACGCTTCTAGAATAGAACGCAAAAAGCGGTTCCATCAGAACGTCGTTCCAAAAGCAGCAGGTGCGCGGCCACGTGCGCCGGATCACGTGCTTTCATCAGGTGATCCGATGTGGCACGTGGGCGATGCCGGGTTGTTTATCTCCAAAAATGGCGGACATTACCCATCATGCATTTCGCGCCGCTAATGGCGAAAGGGCTTATTTGATTGTGCTGTCACGATGTCTAGTCATGAAATTTTGGAATAAAAAAATCACTAACACGCGCATGATGTTCTTTTAATGTTCCGTGGAGCATATCACTTTGATCACGTTTTATTTCAATCCAAGAATAGTGAATGAATGATATTATCATGATGATGGATATTGAAAACCAACCAAACCTAAACTAACCCGCGTATCACCGTGCGCATTGTGGTGAACAGGATGAGGTGTGGTGCTGATGTGTTTTTGATGTACCCGCTGAGCTGAGCTGAGCTGAGTACAGTGAGTGGCTCCCTGATCCACTTACCTGCAGTAATCCTGTTAACTGTGCTAACTGTGCTCCCACTTATCGCCACAGTTATGCACGCCACAACAGCTTTCTGTGGGGGCAGGGCGATCCATTTTCGTTACGCCGCAGAGGTCCCGAGTTCGAATCCTCTCGGAACCAAAAGGTCCCGAGTTCGAATCCTGCCCTGTTCTTGTGCCCTTATAAAAGGCACTTTACACGATTTTCCTCACTTCGTTCAGGTGAAAATGAGTATTGTGTGTTGGTAACGGCATCAATATATTAAGTTGAATGAAAAAACTTGAGTGTGCCGTGACCACGTCTTGTGACTACATGTTGGAATCAATGCGGTTAACAAATCCTGTTAACCGTGCTCCCAGTTACCACTACAATTATGCACGGTACAGCAGCTCACTGTAGGGGCGTGTGGCGTAACGACAGAGCGTTCGGCTCGGAACAAACAGATCCCGAGTTCCAATCCTGCCATGTCACCGATCTTGTGCCCTTATGAAAGGCACTTAACACGATTTTCCTCACTTCGCTCCGGTGAAAATGAGTATTTCTGTAGTCCGTTCATGCGTGTTTCTGCGTAGGAGGTGGCATGAAATAAGTTGAATCGCGTCATCGCTAGCACAAACCAAGGAGAAAGACGTTATACGTGCCCCCATTTACCGCCACTTGTATGCACGACAGCCTACGCTGCGTCATTCTTACAGATCTAGACCAAGGAGAAAGCTTCAGGTTCGTTTGCGTTTGATTTGGTTTGTTTCTTTGTGTTGTATGACGACATGAAGACATACGACATGAACTAGCTGAAGGTGCCTGGCGACTGGACAGTATGCAGTATTTATTTATTTATTTATTTATGAAGATTTACCACATTTGTGGAAGGACACAATATATAAGCGGTTACATGGCATATATAAAGGCGTTTACAAAACACGAGACTTAAGTGGTATATTATGCAATATGATTTCTATACCAGGTAATAGGTAATACTAATGAGTTGATATTACAAATTTGAAGACCTGTTGTTATACGAGGTAATATACTATAATTCTAGAAACTTTGCCTATAAATATCTATGGTATTGTGTGTATAAATTATATCGAATATAAAATATGTGGCATATGAAATATTCAATGAATGTAAATAGGCTTTAGTCGTAATGGATAAAATAAAATATGAAAAAGAAAATGAATTAGGTACGGCCGCTTCGGCTTTTATATGAAATCCTACCGCATTAAATACTAAATCCTGGATTATGTTGTCGCCACATCTCTGGGAGGTACTGATTAACCCTGGTCACCCATGGCGCCTGGTCTATAGATTCTAATGTCCAAGCAGATCCTAGGGTCCTAGGTATCAAATTAGTCAGGCAATATCCAATTGGCCAGAGAGGGTCCATACGCGACCCAAGGTGGTGGGGGTAGCTACAAAAAACGGGCCATATATAAAAAGCTAACGATCATTCCCCACAACCTCTGCTTGGAGAGTACATAGATTCGCCTTCAATTACGTCTTGCGCAGTTCTGAAATATTCATTTTTGCTTTAAATTGGATTTTTATGTCCATAATTCATTTTTGTCCTTTTACCGTAACTGAGATTGTACACTTCCATACACTAGAGAATTTGATGTGCCTTCGGTAACGCCTACTGCGTAGCTGTTTGTTTGTTTGTTTGTTTGTTTGTTTATTTAAATGCAACAGTACATAACAAGTGGCAACCAGGCAGCAACAAGGCTGGTAGCGGCTACCACTGACACATAAATGCATAAATACAAAGTATAGTATAACTTAAATACAACATCACTTAGTACATACAAATTCAATTCAATATTTACTTAATATGACAAACTTAATTACATTTTCTTAGGACTAAGGTAAGCTTAACACGTTATCCCTTAAAACAATTTGATTATTATTGTGATACCTAAAAACGTACGTAGACTGAAAGATAGTCGACAGAATCGGTGTCACAAGTTGCAATGAACAACGTTGTACTCTTATTTTAGTCCTTCTATAACTTCTACTGTTGTGCACGCATCACCTTCAAAATGTGCTGAATACTACATGTAAGTAGGAGTCACAAAGTTATATTGAAAAAGTAACCCTCTATTTATTTCATAACCTTTTTAAATTTCCTTTATGACCTTTACTCAACATCATCAGTAGTTCATCTCTCCGGAGAATGTAGCGCCGACTTAACCTTTGCCACACTGAAGTTTCTTGGCTACCGATTCCCGATTCTCTATTGCCTACGTGCAGCAAAGAGCACACTCTCCTTGTTTTTTAGTTATTTTTGGCGTGTTTTAGGCTTTTTTTCCCGGGTTTCTTGTTTGCACTGAACTTTTTTCACTCCAACCCAACAAAAATTCCAGTGCAAAAAAGAAACCCTGATAAAAAGCCTGAAACGCCAAAAAAGCAACCAAAAACCAAAACCTTTGCTTTACTTTTACTTTCCAACATATAATCACAAGACGAGGTGACGGCACTTTTAACTCATATCAATGCCGCCACCACTGACACAGGAGATAATACAATACTCATGTACACCTGAGCGAAGTGAGGAAAGTCATGTAATTCAAAGTGCATTTCCCAAGGGTACAAGGTCGGTGGGATGTCAGGCCTCTTAGTTCCAAGTCGAACACTCTGCCGCTACGCCACATATAACCCAACCAACCTCTGCTTGGAGAATACAAAGAGCCTTCTCCTCAAACAATTGGCGTTATTTACTTTCTGTACCCTCCGGGTCTGACCCCCGTTATTGGTCCGGCCCGCAGGACCCCGCAGGGAAGGGTGATCTTTGTAGCTGACATTTAAACGCTAACCGTGGCCCATCCACACACGCAGCAGTGGCGTAGCAGCGGGCCTAGTTATAAATCTATGCTTGGCTTCCTATTTAAATGAAAAGGGGGCTTTTGAGGCCAGGGCCAACTTTCATCTCGGATCGCGCATGAACGGCTTGCGCTAGAACCATCCAAGTATTAGTTATCATGGAAGACTAAATACACTTTCTCTCAAGCTGTTCATTCCATAGCAACGCTTGAAATGAGTTAACTATTCAAACTTCTACCATTTATCCCAATTTTACTAAACTTACAGACCAAGAAAAACTATTCCTATTTTTAACTTCCCCAAACCCACAAATTTTGGAAAAGGTGGGACATTACGTCTTCCATGGTCTAAAAAAGAGAAGTCACACCCCTTAGACATAGTTTTAGACATAGACATAGCTCTAGACAACTACCTTTTATCATGTAGATTTTAGTTATTTTATACTACGTTTCATTGTTCTTTCTGTTTGTAATCTGCAATCAGCCCCCCGGGCATGAATTTGCAATACACTTCATTTGAAAATTCGGTGACCCTACGGTAAGTGGTTGTTGAGTTACAGGGCGGGCATCAAATGACTCCCCCCCCCCCTCTGTCCCAGCGTTAACAAAAAAGCCCGGTCTGGATAGGGTTAAACGTGCGCCGGCTGCGATCAGATGTGCAACGGGAAGAATAGTAGTAGAATTGTTAAACGAGTAATTTGTTAAACATGTAACGAGATCGTAACAGCGACAAGACATATTGATACTATGTAATTGTTCCGCCGCTTATTGATATGGCTTTT